GTTTCTCTGAAACTGCTATGTTTATAAAAGAATGGGTTAACCCTAGCTGGACCTGGCACCCAGACCACTTCATTAAGCTGAAGTGGTCTGGGTGCCTAGAGTGGTCCTTTAATGAAGCAGTTTTAGTGTATAGATCATACCATGCAGTTTCACTGCTCAATTCTCTGCCATTTAGGAATTATTTTAGTTTGTTTATGCAGCCCTAGTCAGTTACCAGCATGTGACTTACACAATCTTCATGCACACATCCTGTAAAGAGTCATCTAATGTTTACACTTTCTTTATTGCAAATTTAGTTTATTTTATAATTTATTATCTCCCGCACTGTTAATACCCTGCAGGATCCTCCAGTGTGTGATTAAAGTCCAATGTATACATCAGGAGGTATGCAGTTCTAAAGTAAGTTAACATCTGACAGAAAATGAAACCAGTTTATTTTTCACGCAGGCTGTATCAGTCATCATAGCCAGGGGAGGTGTGACTAGGGCTGCATAAAGAGAAACAAAAGTGATTGAACTACTAAATGGAAGAGAATTGAACAACGAGACTGCAGGGGCATGATTTATACACAAAAACTGATTTGTTAAGCTAAAGTTGTTTAAGTGGCTATAGTGTCCCTTTAAGACACTTGCCCAACCATCTCAACATATGATGATGTGGTCAGTTATGGTCTGAAGAGATACTGTAACAGTATGACTCGGATCTCACCTCTCCAGTCAGCAGGTAGATAATACCCAGGGCATGATTCAGTATCCGTTCTGCCATCTTTTTCTTTTCATACCCCATCCCCTTCATTCTAAATTGGTGCAATCTACAAAAGGAAAAGTGGGAGAAAAAAAGTCAGAGAGGGGCTAGAAGTGTGAGTTTTTATATAAATATATATTATAAGCCTCAACAAAGCATCAGATGTACAGAAGTCCAGGGAAGTAAGCAAATCAGATTATTTATATCAGTAATATTTATTTCCTAATAGTCTGCTTTAGTTTGGGATCAGAGCTGCACACTACCCTCTCCCTATCATTTTTGTGAATCCTAATTACTGGGAAGAAACATTTATAATTATCAGAATTCTATCTAATAAAATCCAGCCATCCCTACAGAGTTAGTGCTAGGTTCACACACAATGCAATACTTGGTTTTAACACAGACCCTGTGATTAGCAGCCCATATCTCATATGAAGAGTAACAGCCTGAAACAATACCTTTAAACTGCAAGTTGCTTTCGGCAGGAAGTGAGGTTAAATGCTGGGCAAGACACAATAGTCACCATGCACTCATCCCCCAGGAATTCTGGGAATTGTGGTTCTAACTGCTCCAGGGACTGCAACATTGAACCCTGGCTGGACCACAGCTCCCAGCATGCCTTGTAAGGTAAACACATGGCAATGGGAGGAGCCAGGCACAGCAAGAGATGCAGACTGAGACAATGTTGCCTGACAGCCTTTCAGGGGATTTGTCCTGGTAGCAGCCTCTGGATGTACAGGCAGAGAGTGATGCCTAGAGCAGCTCACTGAGACCTGGTGAGTAGCTGTATATACAGCCCAGTGATGGGCAGCCATGACAGAGAGAGCCTGGGTAGCAGCTCACACTTAGCCAGCTGCTATGGACTACAACTCCTAAACCAATGGCTGTGGACTGCAACTCTCAGAATGCTCATGGGACTCACTGCCCTGAGCTAATTTCTAAAACATACAGAAAACTGGCATGTTTAGAGTAATTGTTTCCATGGCACTTACTCTAGATCAGGTGATGGTCTTGGTTTGGAATTGTGGGAGTTGTAGTTTATTTTATGTTTTATTACTGGCATTTCTAAAGAGCCAGCCCCTAGTTACCACCTTCCTGAGAAATACATCCAAGGGCGGCTTATTTACTAAACAGTGAATTGTGGTCAACTTATTTTTTTTAGGATAAAATAGCCAAGCTGTGACTATAGAGATTTCCAAATTTGTTATTTTTTTGCCAAATAAAATTGTCATTTGGTTTTCAATTCACTACAGTTTTCTCTTTTGGGAATAAACTCCAAGAGGGTTATTCACTAAACTCCAAATTGTAACAAATAAACATCTGATCAGGAAACATTCTTATACTCTGCTATTTGTAGCCTAAATTTAGAAATTGGAATTCTGAGCACAAACCACCAACGTATCAATGGACCGATTTCAGATAATTTTCCATTTAGAAGTTAAATAACTTTTGTTTCTGCTTATGCAGCCCTAGTCACACCACCCTTGCCTGTGACTCACACAGCCATCATGTAGATTTCATTTTCAATCAGACGTTAACTTGCTTTGGAAGTTTTTGCTTATCTCTTTTTATTGAAATTTTTGTTTTTATCCCATCAATGCAGGATATGTTACAGATATCGAGTAAAGTAAAAGGTAGTCACATACGCTTAAGAAGGTGTTTTACATGTCAGTAGCTAGGCATTTATCACGTGTTACAATCCAACATTGGTACGTTAACTGGAGTGCGTGAAGTGCTTAGGGAGAATGGCCGTGTGGAGCAGGAGATAATAAATGTAACCTGAGTGGGTTTTTATAATGTGGCCTTCTTCCAAATGTGCCCCAAACCAAGGTGGCATCATTAGGGGGAGGGTGAGGGCTGTCAGTGGAGTGGTATAACAATCCTTACCATAAGCCCCAAGATTTTGGGTGCAGGAGCATACAGTTGCGGGCAAGTAGGCTCTCTAACGTAGGGAAACAATTAAACTGGTTTTAAATAAAACGTTATCTAAACAATATATGAATGTTCGGGCTGCAAATGTGTATATTGGCTCTCAATGTAGTCAGGTTTCTGGTTGCGGAGTCAGACAGTCAGAGGATGTGCCTGGTGACGGGATTCAGGGATCTTCACCATTGTAGCGTGGTTCTGGTGAGGTCCTGGTAGATAGAGAGACTTGCTCCTTCGAAAGTCAGTGGCTTCTTGCCTCGGAGTACTGTCATCAGGAGTCTTTTGTCCTGTGAGGTGGAGCAACATACGATCACATCTCGTACCATAGTGGAGGCTGCTCTGCCCTATGATGGTAGACGGTAGATCCCATCTATGATAAATTTCTTAGCATGATTCGGTGGCAGTAGTGAGGCTACGAGTCACCTCATATAGTGAGGGAGTTTGTCAGGCGTGATGGTATCAGGTATCCCTCTAAGCTTGAGGTGATTGTGTCATGTCCTATCATCTAGGGCTATGTAGTGGAGTGAGAGAGCTTGTTGCTGGGCTTGTAAAGCCAGTACAGAGTCCTGTAGGGATGACGGTCCCTGCTTGATGTCTGAAATGTCATCCTCCGAGGCATTCACCCTGTCCGTGATGGTATCAGGTTGCACGGCCAGGGTTTAGAAGGCTAATAACCAAGCAGGAGATAATAAATTCTAGATTAAACAGACTGTTTAAAAAAGGAAGTGTAAACATTAGATGACTCTTTACAGGAAGTGTTTAGGAATGCTGTGAAAGTCACATGAAGGGAGGTATCACTAGGTCTGTATAAAAAAGGGATTTAATTCCTAAATGGCAGAGAATTGAGCAGTGAGATTGCAGGGGCATGATGTATCCACAAAACGGCTTAAGCAAGCTGTTTAGGTGACCGTAGTGTCCCTTTTAATAAATGTAAGATTCATTTATTTATTTTTTAAATTGCTATTCTATTTTCAAATCTCAATGAAACCCTCATGTCATGATTTAAAGCAAAACTTTCACTTCTGAGGTTTTGGCACAACACAATCACTTCCTAAACGTTTGCTATACCTTGTGCTTCTATTTTCTTACCAGCCTCAATAGAGATAATGTTTTTTATACAAGACATACTAGGTAAATTCCATTAACCCCTGAAGACACATGTGTGGAACTCTAGAAGGAATTTCTCTAGATATCCCGGATTCCTTTACATACACCTTTGTACGTGTATACATCACAGTGACACCAAGACCTGGAATCTGTTGCCTACTAACTGGAGAGGTAAGAAATATGTCACTGTGGCTTTAAAGAGCAGTCACCGGGTGAGATACAATTAACAAACCTATAATGAAATACTGCAGGTAAGCTTCCCTTCCCTACCCACTGCTTGTCTTTTGTTTCCCTCTGGCATAAAATGTATAAATAAATAGAATATTGACTGTAACCTACAAGGTTCTCCGCAGAGTGCATTTCTTCTCCAATTCACAAATGCATTCTTGCTCAACCATGTTGCTCTGCCTGTAACACTTATTTACTTTTTAAGGGCAGTACCACTCTGGAATGCTCTAACCAAAATATGTGATTTTACTCATTACGGTGACTTTAATGTTTAAATCTTACATGCCTCCTTGTTGTTGTGCAGGAATATGTTGTCGTAAACAAGACGTCCTCTTGTAACGTTGTACTTCCTTCAGAGTACAGATACTTTATGGTCCCCATGTTCTCACTGTTGATACCAATTCTCTCCCCCTCCTGACTAGCTGTGAGTGTCTCATAGAATTATTTGACCTGTGATAACCCTGAACTGGAATGGAACTGTTACAGGTGCCTGTAAAATGTGGGGATGTCTCTGTTTATTTCTCCAAGGAGGAGTGGGATTATATAGAAGGTCACAAGGACATTTACAAAGACCTCATGATAGAGAATTGTCCAACAGAAAGTACTAATGAAAGGTAACACTGTTTAGAGTTTTTATTAAGTTGTTGTAAGTATTCTTCAATATTCACTTTGTAGCTAAACAGACTGGATCTTAACATAAATAATTCTACATTAGATCTCTTCTTAGAAATGTTTCATCTACACGCGTGCACCTTCCAAGTTTCTAAGCAATGCTTATTTTTATCCAATGCATATTTGGCCCATGGAACTTTAGATGAGCACACAAGGTCCATTCAGCCGGAGTACATGAGATTTACACTAAGCTCTTATTTAAAGTATTGGGAGGACCACGATTAGCTGAGTTCTCAGTCTCGACCTGGTTCCTGATAAAACTTCATATTTGTCTCCACTAAGGGAAAATTAAGAGTTCATCACTTTGTTTATGCGCACCTCCACTGTCTCTGATTTTTATAGCCACCCTACACATTTCCTGAAGAAGAGATTCATTCTTTTTTTTAACTTCCCTTATTGGACAGTGTGTTTAATTTAGAATTTCTTATCTCCTGCTCTTTAAACTGCCTACTAGAGCCTTCAGCAGCCTCCCATGTGTGATTGAAGTTCAATTAAAAAAACAGGAGACAATGACTTCTAGAGTAAACATACTATGCTGTAATTTTTTTCATGGATGCTGTATGAGCCACAACCAGGGAAAGTATGACGTGGGCAAAACAAAGTGACTTAATTCCATAGGAGCACTAGACACGGCAGGGGCATGCAATTACACCAAAACCGCTTCATTAAGTTGCTTTAGTTTTTAGAACTGTCCTACAAAACTTCCGTCCCGTTTTCCGTTTTGAAATACAACACTCATTATTCTGTGAATGAAACAGACAGCCAGGGAATCATGGGAGTTGTAGTTCCATACATCTAAGGGGCCGCAGGTTGTGCAGGACTGGTTTAGAGTATTCCTGGAAGGTCAACAGCCTTACTGCATTAATCTGTTTGCAGTAATGCTTGCAGAGCAAAAAAAGACACCACCCTGTATATTATGCATTTTATAAAAAGTCGATCATATCTTACTTTCTCCTTGTAATATCTCTTTAGATGTGAAGTTAACAGGTCCTTACAATGGAGATCCTGACAGTGTATCGGAAGTCGAGGGAGAGGAGGATGAGAAATGTGCACAGGAAATTGATACAGTAAAAATCCATTTACACACAGATACAAGTAAGAGACCTCTCTGAATCCTAAACCCTAATCTAATCAGGAAATGGACAACTATATTTTAAGATAATTTTATTTGTATTTTTAACATATTATTATTGTTTGGCAAGATCAAAAAAATGAATTTGCAGGATCTTGAGAAAGTAATGGACACAAAGTATTTAAAAGTTGCCTAACAGCCCGGATGTCCCTTTAGTGGCTGTCTACAAGACAGCCACTAGAGGTGGAGTAAACATGGTCCTTAAGGGGTTAAAGGTAGTTTCTTAAAAGCTGCAATAATTACCTTTGCAGGGTTAAGGGACCTGGGAATATGCACCCAGACCTCTTCAATGAGCTGCAGTGGTCTGAATGACTATAGAATCCCTTTAATATATATTTTTGCTTGCTCTCTTTGCTGTCAGCTTAGGGATATCATATGATATAGTGATGAGAAAGAGAAGGCATGAAAATCCCATAATGCATTGCAAGTTGGAGTATGGGACAATGAGCAGGGCTTTGTGCTGTTATTTGGAGATTTTATTTAATATTTTTCTTTGGGAAGGCAGTATATATGCTCTGCTAATATGATGTTCTAATAATTAAAGGACCACTATAGTGCCAGGAAAACATACAAGTTTTCCTGGCACTATAGTGCCCTGAGGGTGCCCTCACCCTCAGGGCCCCCTTCCCGCCGGGCTCTAGGGGGTGGAAGGGGTTAAATTTACCTCTTTTTCCAGCGCCGGGTGGGGGACTCTCCTCCTTGTCGTCGTCATAGGCTTAATGCACATGCGCGGCATGAGCCACACGCGCCTTTAGCCAAAATCTCCAAGCATTCTCAATGCTTTCCTATGGACGCTGGCATCTTCTCGCTGTGATTTTCACAGTGAGGAGCGCGGAAGCACTTCTAGCAGCTGTCAATGAGACAGCCACTAGAGGCTGGATTAACCCCATTATAAACATAGCAGTTTTTCTGAAACTGCTATGTTTATAGAAGAAAGGGTTAATCCTAGCTGGACCTGGCACCCAGACCACTTCATTAAACTGAAGTGGTCTGGGCGCCTTTAGTGGTCCTTTAATTTTGAATGGACATTCTTTACCTCCTGGTTCATGTTCCCTAACTCTGATATTTCCAGCAGACTCAACATCCTATCTATATTGCTTCCCTGTGTAATGAATATTTTGAACAGGTGGCAGTGAAACCGACATTGTACAGAGTGTCGATCAAATAGACACAAAGTGAGAGGCGCCGCATGGTCAATGAGAAGGAAGTGCATGCGCTTCTTACCCGGGTAAGTATTTAATAGAAAGGAATACATCACTGGTACAATATCCAGATTGGAATCTAAAATGTTAATTTGTACTGTTATATAATCTGTAATTTTATCTCTGTTGCTCATGCTATCAATAAGTAAATTATTCCAAAAATGTAACGGATTGCAAACATCTCCAACAGATGCATACATTATAAAGGCATAGCTATCTAAATATAGCTTCTGGTGCCCCAACGATATCTGCCACAATAAATGCAAGACCATTCAGTCCAGGAGGCATTAACCTCAAATTCTCAATTTTCCTCTAGTACAATATGGATGCCCATTAGCTATAATTGGTTCTGTTCCCATCACAAGTACTTTGCCACAGGTCACCAATAAAAACCATAACTCTTTCCAGTACCCTTTTAGTAGCTTCTAGCAGGGATGTTCTTTCCGTTTAGATATTAGGTGTGGTATGACACCTTCACTCTTCTTGTTGTCCACTGACTCTTCCTTTTATTTGTGCTTTGCTATATCTTTCATTACATCTCTCCTTTATCTTTGCTGTAAAATAAACATGTTACATCTCATCATTTGTCCTTTCCTGAAATCAAGCCTGGGGATGTGATTGATGAATCCCATAGAGACATTTATTCCGTGGAAGGTGTGGACAATGCCAACGAATCGCATGGATTTAAGGATGATGGACAAATACCAAGGACTGAATGAAGAACTAGAAAGAATGTGGAAATTGAAGGCAGTAGTAGTCCCAGTTGTTAAAGGAGCACTTGGGGCTGTAACCCCAAGTTGGGGGAGTGGCTTCAACAGATTCCAGGTGGGACATCTGAGATTGCGTTCCGGAAGAGTACAGTTCTTGGAACAGCTAAGATAATGTGCACTCTCAGACTCCCAGGCCTCTGGTAGAGGAACCAAACATGAGGAATAAATATACCACCTAGTTGTGGGAAAACCATTTTTTTTATTTTACAAATTATATGAATACAATACAATGTGCTGAATTAGGTTTCAATAACCTTATTTAAAAAAAAAAAAAAAGAATTTCTTGTACATTTTTGTTAGTTTTTTTATAAAATTGTAACTAATAACACACAGGTGGCTGTTTTGCACTTGGAGGCGTTTAACAGAGCAGGGAGGAAGAACTTCTAAATTAAACACACACTGGTAAGATATAAAGGTTTTAAACTGAACACTTTTTCATATGAAAAATTTAATTGTATTTTAGGTCAAATTAAAGTTCATATTCTTATATTTGTAAGTTTTTATTTAAGTTCATACAACATTTACAAATTACAAATGTCACAAACTCAGTAGATCATCAATTTCATCTGCATTTTTAATGAGTAATAAAGAGAACAGGGGGATGTTGTCTGCTAAGAAAAATAGATAAAAGACAAAGGGTAAGTCAGGGCATGCTTTTTCTGTTTTATATCTGTAATGACGTGGTATGCAAGAAAGGAATCTTTCTACTGATGTTGATTTTCCAAGAATAAAGGGCGAATCAGCTGCTCATGAAATGTAGGACCTTAACCAGAACCATTAATAGGAAGGAAGAAATATAAAAGGGGATTATATTACTATTTATGTGGAAGTTGTAGCAACTGATGGCTAATTAGTAGCTCTATAGCATTCCTATAAATGACAGCTCTCTCCAAGGACCTGAAATTCTAGAGGGAAGAGTTGTTGATAGCCTGATCAGGGTTCTGCTTGTAGTACTGGGTATCATAATCTGCCACAAGGGAGTGTGTGAACTCATCAAGGTATAATTAATAATATTTGATTTATTAAAGGAAGCATTTTATTTTTGCGAGTTAATAATAAAAAAATAAATACCATGCCTGTTTACCACACACAATGTCTTTATATGCCATATAATATCCCCCAATCCCTGTGGGTAGATCCAGGGGAAATAAAGGTAAGTGAACCTCTTTATTTAAACATTTCGGGGAGACGGGAGCTAGAATATTTTTTTTAACTGTACTATACTACTGAACTGTGTGTGTATGACATATGTTAAAGTGTTGCCACCCACCCCATGTGTTCCCCATTAAGGATTCATAAGTATCAGGGCACAAGCGGCCACCTTAGGGCACCAGAGCAGGGGGGAAAAAATCCGAATCCCCTTCCTCTTGCTGGGGACTCTGATTGTTCAACTTATCTGTCTCTCCCTGCAGTCAGTGGAGTAGGCCGGTCTCTCCTGATGATGTCAGGAGGAGGGGTCGTGACTTCCACTGCGCTTCTCCCAGGACCCCTGGAAGAAGAGCAGAGGAAGTTACGCCCCCTACCCCCGACATCATCAGGAGAGGCCGGCCGACTTCACTGGCTGCAGATCCTGTCCCACCCCTCCCTGGCCCAAGCTAAGCCTCTGGGAGAGGGGGAATACATTTTAGTTTTGTTTTTTTATCCACCTCCTCAGCCCCTGTCTCTCTTCCTCAGCCCCTGTCCCCCTTCCTCAGCCCCTGTCCCCTTACTCAACACCTATCCCCCCTCCTTTGCCCCTGTCTCCTCAGCCCCATGCCCCCCCACCATCATAACCCCATAACATCCCCACGATAGCCCCTGTCCCCCAATTGTAGCCATCAACCTACTTCCCCCACTACATTTTGTAACTACCCAATTACAGCCCGTACCCCCCACTATAGCCCCTAGGTCCCTACTACATCCCCTAACTTTTCAATTACAGCCACTGCAACCCACTACCAGTGTCCTTCCTGAAATTAGGCTCTGTATCTGCCCCTGCTCTGCATGCCTATATCTGTGTGACTATAAGCCTGTGTATGTATGTCTTTGTATGCCTGTGTCTGTATGACCGTGTCTGAATGTCTGTGTGTGTGTGTCTGTATGTCTGTGTTTGTATGTGTAACGGCACCCCAGGCATAAAAGGGGTTAAAAGCCGTTTAGGAGATATTCAGGCAGCTACCAAAGACACCAATCCGCCGAACAGGAAACCATTGAATGCCGTAAACAGCCGAATAGGAAAAACCATATGAATAGGTTTACACTCCTAGCAGTCGTACTGGAACAACATACAATAAATCCCCCCCCCCCCAAGAACGTGTTCTTATATACACATTCTTACACATTAGTACCACCCACGGGGTTTTGAAAAACAACCAATAAACACGTACAATACACTCAGACACTCCCACACAAAATCCTCCCCTCTGCCTGTGATACAATTACCTTACACAATGGGTAATGTAATTATCACAGGCCGAGAAATACAGTTTTTCCACATTATTCATAATTCACACAAAACTTACATTTTCAGAATCAGCATACTCCAAATACAAACATACATCAAAATCATACAAATTGGTCCAGTGGTTCAAAAGATAGATCGTAGTCCTTTGTGACCAAATGAAGAATGGCTTTTTTGCCCAAAACCAGTTCCACATAGTCTTCTATCCTGGAGATAATTGGGAAGTAATCCAATTATCTCCAAGGACAGAGGCAAAACTCCATTGAACACATGGCAGCAAAAGACAATAAATACATAAAAATATATAACTGTGCAGCCATTAAAACAGGTACATTTAACATATCCCCAGATAGCTCAGATCTGAGCGCACATTATTACTGAATGGTGTTCAGATCACACACATACAGTTCAATTGCCATGGAGCCAAATCTTTCATTATACGAATGGGCTCCATGGCATAGCTATCTGGGGTATCACCGCTCAAACCGGGCAAGCACCGAATTACCCGGCTTTCGTGTCTTTGCAGGGGAAAATCAAGCGTTTCAAGATGGGGCCATAGTCTAAAGACAGCAGACAGGCAACCAGGCTCCTCCAATGCACAGTGGCGAGATTGGTCTCGTCACAGTATGACGTTATACCTGTATGTGTAGATTGTATGGCTGTGCGCCTGTATTTGTTTGATTGTGTGTCTGTATATCTCTGTGACTGAGTGCCTGTATGGTTGTGTGTTGCTCTCTCTATATATATATATATAGCGCGTCTATATCGCATGGAAAAATGTGCTGAGGGGAGAGAGCCACAGAAAAGGACTGGGGGGGAGAAAAAGACAGGCAAAAAGAATGGGGGGACACACACAAAGGGGCTGGGGAAAGAAAGATATACAAGGGGGGTTATAAGAGACACACGAGGGTGTAAGACATAGGAAAAGGAGGATAAAATACACTAAAGAGGGTAAGAAAATCAAAAGGGGGGTTACAATACACAGATGAAGACGCATTTATTTTTTTCAAGGGGGGGGGGGCAGCAAAATGCATCTGTGTAGCCAAAAATCCTTGCACCGGCCCTGATAAGTATATAGTTTTTTTAGAAATATACCCTTCTCTGTCTCAGAGATTTTCAGCTGAAGCTGAAAGAAGCAAGGGGAATTGTTAGTGTAGGTGTGACGATACCGCCCTGGCGTCTCTGGCACTGTAGGTGTACCAGTTCAGTCACACTATCGTCTGTGGGTTTCTTTTATCTAACCTGCACCATTAACTGCTCCACTAAATGCTAGGACTCAGCCTTGGTAGCGTATCCACTGGTAATGCAGGATATACTGCACTGGTATCTGGTTACTATAGTATATTCTATCTATCTCGTCCTCTGGCAATACTCTTATTAGTAATTTCTCTATAGAGGACAATGAATAGCAATATACCCGTGAGACCTTAAGGAAGAGACAAACAAGCTTCTTCTTGGCAACTCAAATAATTCAGACAGTATATTGTAGAAACATCCAATTTACATAGATTGATCTCAACGTGAAACGTGTACAGAAGGATCAGCGCTTAAAAACCTAAATAAAGGCAGCACACCTAAAGGATAGGGCTCCCTCACAGGCCCTATAGGTATAAGGAAGGAGAGAAAGGTGGTGCCACAGAGATAATATATAAAATGAAATATAAGCAAGTAGGAATATAGAAATAAACAATGCCATAATACAGAGAGAGCACAATAAAAATAATAATAGGTATATATATATACACATATACACAGTCCAAAAATTCCAGTAAAACCTTTGGATGAGAGAACAATCACAGTTCTATCTGAGGTCTGAGACATCTATGGAGTAGTGGGATTGAGGGGTTCGTTGGATCCGTATGAAAGAAAAAAGAAAATCTAATAGTGCAATAAAACCCAAATTGGTAGCAGATGCTAAAAGAGGTCTATATGGTCCTACTCACTCACAGACACACAGATTATAATTTTTTTATTAAAAAATGTCCACCCAGCCTCCCTACCTGAAGAGCTGGCGTGGACCTGTCCCTGGGGTCCAGTGGGGCGGGCGCCGGTGTCCCAGTCATACTCGGCGAGGGAGCTGTGACGTCATATTCCGGCTCCCGCCATCAGCAAACTGTGCACGGCAAGAAGGAGCAGAGAGAACACAGCTCCCTTACCGAGTCTGACAGGGAGACAGGCGCCTGCCAGGTGGGGTCCATCAGGTGGCCATTAGACCACCTCTTGGGCCCCACCATGACGGGGAAAAAAATGCCACCCCTGAGTGCCTGCAAGAACAGTAGGAACGGTGTTCCTGCTGTAAAAAAAAGTGCAGGAACGCCGTTCCCATGCGTTCCTGCAGGACACAAGCCCTGCTTTTATTAAAATAGTAAAACCTCTATCTTTATATATATACCTATTATTTGTATTGTTCTCTCTCTGTATTATGTCATTGTTTATTTCTATATTACTACTTGCTTATATATTTTATATATTATCTCTGTGGCGCCACCTTTCTCTCCTTCCTTATGGATTGATCTCAGCATACAGTAAAAAAACATTTCATAAACATTTACTGAGCTGGGCAAAGCACTCGGTCCAACATCATGCATTACACTTGTTTGTTTCCAATATCAGGTTGTTACTGTCAGTACAGACTTTACCGTATTAACCTACAAAATACATTTCACTCAAGCAATGTAACACAGCACCTGACAATTCTTAATGCCTGCATAGAGAGCTGGTGTCCCTCCCCCTCTTTTGACCAACAGCTGCCAATACAGACACACACTGCTCTGTGTATAATACAGTTGCACACAATACATACATGACTATGTACATTGCAAACTGTATCTCATAG